GTCTGTATATTCTTATCACACCAACCCTCCTGTATTCACAAATGTCAAAAATATATCATTGACAAGCATAATTTAATATAAATCACATGCACAAAAAGCAAAATAACATCTACTTGTTCCTTAGTTTAATAACGGACTAAATGAATTAGTAAAAACGAAGTATGTCAATACTATTGTCAGTGCCCATAAAGTCCAAAGAAAACTGTGTATATTGGAATAGCAGTATATCCCCCTACTGTAAAGCTTTCCTAGGAAAATAGTGATGAATAGAGCTTTTATTATGTTTCAAAAGGCAACTTCATCATCAGTGCTAGTAGCACAATGTCCAATATGAGATGGCTATCTGTTCAGGAATGCATGATATTAATGAGACAAAATTAGGACTGAGAATTAAACAGCATTTTTCTCTTACCCTATTCCTGTCGAACATTTCAACTTTTTAAAACACAGAAACTGATAGGGGGAGGAGCTGAATATCTTCCTGATTATTTCATAATTAAGCTGCTCCTATCCAGAAACTGTCACCCTTACCTTACACAGGCAAATGAGCTGTAAGAGTGTATTACATAAGCTTCCCTCCCACTAATAAGGCAAGAACAATGTTGAGTATACAATAAATCTATACAAAGTGAAATTTCACAGAGAAGGCATAACAGACCAGCTCTAAAGGGTGGCTGAATGCAGCCATTACACATGTTGCAGTAGGAGGAATAGGGTCACTTGTTAAGAATGCTTCTGGGCTCTCAACCCTTACAAAAGAACAAAATTATACATTATTGTGAGATCAAGATGACCACAATATTGTTACCACAGAGGTCAATATGAAATCAGTTGAACCACTTCCTAGAAGATTTTGGACAAACTGGAGAACACAAAGAGTCATTCATGGCAATGTGAGATCACTGTGGCAAATTTTAAAATACTGACTCAGTGACAATCTTTTAAAACTATTTTATTCAGTAATGCACAAAGATATGAAACATTTATTACAGTGGGTCATTATTACAAAATGTCCTGTGATTAAACTTCATTTACACCAGAAGTTAAGGGAAATTAGACTTCATACCTGACATCAAAGTATTCAGTAACACAGGCAACTCTACAAAGGGTTCCTTGATATCAGTTGGCCAATAATCACTTTCCTCATTTTACAGGAGTTGTATAACTCGTGTGTATGCTTAAATCAAACAAGTCATAGAAATGTATACAGGCAACTCATCCCAATTCTGCAAACCATCAGAATTAAGCACAAATCCCCATTTCTTTTATATCCAATTTCAAACTTGCTGCAAATGGGAAAAAATAGTACTTGCAGTTCTGGATACAGAAACAAATGTAATGCCTGCCTAAACACAAATGTCTAGTGTTATCTGCACCTATGACACCTGCAGTACAAGCAAACGTGAACCTACTGCACTCAAATCTATTCAGGGTCTCTGTGTGTAACATAGGACCTTTGCATTATTTTACAGTTTTGTTAAGACCTCCAAAATGTGCAGCATTTTTTGTGTTTTCTAGAAAACAGTTCATGCAGCATAAAGCTGTGCTGATAAGAAGCACATTTGCCCTTTCTGTACAGAGGTCATCTTTATAATCCAAAAGCAATTGCCCACCCACCACGTGCTGGGGTACTACTTATTTCTTTAAATAAAGATCTCTTCCAAGAGGATAATGGATTTAATGATCAGCATAATACCAGCGGCCATTGGTTTTCAATCCTCGTCCTGTGGGACCCCTCGTCTCTGCTGCTTTTAGTTACAACTGGACCCTTAATCACTGGTGCTAATTGGTGCCTGTAACTGATCTGCACACTTGTTTCCTTGATCTAGACTTAAGCCTTGGTTTCAAAATTATATTTCCAATAACTTCGGCACATAGAACCTCATGCAGTCTCTTCAACTTGGCTATTAAGAATTTGCTTATTTATTTTAGACTAAACCGTTCTTAATAGACGGCCAAAGGCTATACGCCGATGAACAGAAAGGTGGGAATCGTGCTGTATCAGACGCTCCCACAGAGAGAGAATGTTGTTCCTTCCATTCAAGTCCAACTGGTCACATTTAATCCAAAATGCCTGATTTAGGGCAGCTCGGAAACTCAGTAATAAGGACATTATACCCATCACAAAACCAATGGAACTAAAAGCCAATACAAAAACAGGCTAATGTCACTTTTTTGTCACTATGTTGCTTTAAGCAAACAGGTGATTCAAAAACAGTACACCAGAGTCTCCCTGACCAGGTCTGAGAGCCAATGCTACAGGCTGGGCCTAGCCTTTACTTGCCATTAACATCAAAGAATAACAGGCCTCAGCCCTCAAAGGGTGTGTATACTTCATAACTGAATAGGCATGGATCCACTCACTGGCAACCCGCCGTATTTTAAACCTTTTACATATCTTGAGCAATCTTCTTGATACTAAAAGAAAAGACCCAGGATGAAAAAAAAGCACATTCCAAACAATCACAAATTGCCTAACTAATAGTGGCTTTTGCATTTGCTTCAGGCTGATAACTCCCGAGTGGGCCTGTGGTATTGTGGGTGGCAGTTCAAGCGAGGTTTGTTCTGGATCCCAGCCTTTAATTTAGATATTAATTACACGTCCATTGGAGATCTCAATCTTTATTTGTATGTTGCACAGGATGCCTTCTTAACACTGAGATTTAAACAAATGTGAAAAAACTAAGACGGCCTTAGTAAAACGTGTGATTTTTTTTTTGTTTTTACAAGAAACACAGCAACAGTAAATAACATGCCCGCAGTGCGTGGGAAAGAATTTGGAGTCCCCGGTCCAGGAGGCTATTTTTCGGGTGACGACAATGAAGAGCAACTGCTGATTCATTTTGGAGTTCATTTGTAAAATGCTTCTTCGACATTAAAATATGAATGGCTAGAAAAGCAAGTTCATTTTACTTTGCGAGGGGGCTGGAGAGAATCAAATGAAAAATGTCACCACCACCACCAACAAAAAAAACCTCATTGTATTTCATGACCTTAAAACACTTATTTGCCATTTACCTCTTGCGACTATGGTAACAGAGTTGAAATGTCCGTCAGCGAATGTCAGTCAGTGTTGGTTTTCTGTTCCCATGGGTACCTTTTAAAAGACTGATATTTAAAATGCTTTATCTAATTGGAATCCTTGTGGGTGTATTGTCTTCTGTGTGCATTTGATGTCTGACCAGTGTTACAAGCCTTCAACATTTTTTCTGCCTTGTCAGGTTAGTTTATTTCCATTAGTGGACGACTGATTGCTACAGAGACCTTTCTTGACCCCATACGAGAGCCTTACCACAAACAACCACATAACGGGTCTTAGGCAGCAAACTAGGGGGAATGGAAAATAATCAACTACCTAACGCATATTGTCTAGTTGCTTTGTATTGTAATAATATTTATTAAGTGAATTAATTACTATGCAGATAAGACATATTGAATCACACCTGTAACGGATTTATAATGATCTAAGATGTATATGGGCAGCAATCTTCAATGAAGAGTGATGTCAACAAAACATGAATGTTACACAATCCTACCTGTAGCATGACCTTGATCAGTTATTTCTCGTCTTATTAGCATACAAGTTGTGACAAAAACATTATCATAAGTACATTCATCTACATATCCCGTAGATCTTCAAATTCAAGAAAGGCAATAAATTAAAAATTATGAGAAATACAAAAAAATCAACGTGCTGCATATTTATATTTATTCCTTACACTTACAGTGTTATGCAATTTGTTTTTTGTTCAATGCATGATTCATATTTCTAGCATGTCATGTACGCTTAATATGGTATATGTTTAAGACCGTACTGTATGTTCTGTGCGAACATCCGTCAATGTACTAAACTACGCCTGCATTTCAGTTGTCAAGTTTAAGGGGGTCAAATCGGGTCTAGAAGAAAACGTAAGCTTTTGAATTTAATGCACTCCGCAAGTAGCTAGTAAAGTTCTTTAATCTTTCGTGTTGCCCGCTGTAAAAGGTTTATGCATTGGAAAAAAAAAAGTTTCCTCGTGAAATTTAGGTCTTTCCTATACATTTCCAACTATTTTTTGGCGAACAGTGCCATCTGGTGACACGAATTCCTCCGAGTATTTCCTCCTAGGAAACCACATTAACGACAATATATAATTTGCCACCTCGTTAATTTCAGCAGCTACACAGGCTGCTTATCATTACGTTATGAGACTATACTTGATACAATGTGGTGAAGATGGATTCGATGTGACAAACTAGCTGAATGCTTTGATGTTGCAAACTCAATTTGTAGTAACGGTCACCCCGCTATATTGTATTTTTTAAGATGGCAAATGTAACAGTCTCTTTAGTCTTGAGATCAAAATCTTCTTGTTCTTTTAGTAAATTTATCTGACTGATTTGGATGAATGGTGAGAGCATAACTATTGAACTTGTTAATATAATTATCAAATGTTGGGTGTAACAATTCATACAATTGCTCAGCAAGAGTTTGGCGCGGCTTTTAATTCATAAGAAAGTTTATCCAGTTAGATCACCCGCTTAAGCAAAGGCTATATTCTGAACTACGTAAATCATTCAAATCACAATTTTTTTTCTATAATAAAACCAAAACGTAGATTGTGCAATATCAAAACGTCAAGAGAACCTCTGGTTATCTTTTTACATACTACCTTTTCATTTTCTTCCACAAGATACTGCAAATAAGATTTAATCAACCACACGCGATATTTATGCAAACCAAGTCATACCAATATGAATAAAATTAAAATCAGCCATTTCGCAATCAGGAATCTAAAAATCGCGAAGTATTATCTTGTACACTACTCTTAATAGTTCTTTTTTTAGCCTACGATATACGTCTTAAACCTTTAATACACTTGGTTTCCGTAGAATGATTGTTTTGCCGTTTAAATAACGGCGCTAGAATAAGCTTATCGATTGGACTGATAAGGAGTACCTTTAAAAAGGCAGGATATCTGGCTCGTCTCTATATACTACATCTCAGCCTGAGGGGACGACGGATCACTTATTTGACCTCTAAAGACCGCGTCGGTTTGGCTTGGCTTCGTTTTACATTCCAAGGAAACCTTCAGTATGTTGCACAGTGTCTGCATCGCCGTTTCCTTGACAAACCTTTTATTTTTTGTTATAGGACACGGTTTACCTCTGCCCGATTCGGGCCCACACTATATTAACGGATGGGGAGATCCCGTGAGACTCAGACATTTGTACACCGCTAGTAGATACGGGCCGCTCAGTTATCATTTGCAAATAAACGAGGACGGACGAGTGGACGGGACCATTTCTCAAAACTCAAAGAGTAAGTAGATATTTTTTGGGAACCGTGCTCAAGTTTTCGGCCGTATGTAGTAGTGGTAGCCGAGTTACTCGAGGTGTACAACTGATATTAGATCAAAGGTGCACAAGAAAACCTTGCAATTATAAGACCGTTTTCTAATGCGTGTATTTGAATGGTCAACGGCAACATTTCGGATGTGCAGTACTCGTACGCCCGTCTAAAAGTCATACATAACTAACCATATATATACACAGTATATATACACACACACACACTTTAAAATTGCCTGTTTGAACCGAGTTATTTCATTTTTACCTCGGACCAGATGCCAAAAATGCAACACGTACGCTTTTCTTAATGTCGGAATTTAGTCGACCCTGACAGGGAATTTGTCATTTAAGCCCCAAGGGGGGCGGGGTAAATATCTTGTAAAAATTCAGCTCTTTCGGCTTAGAGGTGACAAAGTGGGGAAATAAGGGAATTGGGAGATGTTTAAATCAACAGTAGCGCGTAACACCTGAGCTCAACCACAATGATTTATGGTCATGCAGGGTTGCATACTACTGGCGCGTGAAGGAATGGGTACAGTGTGTATTTTTAGATTAAAATACGAAGGTATATTAGGTTAAAGGGATACCTGATTACTAAAATGCATCATGCCGTTTTCATTGTAGAAGAATGCTTTGAATGAGTCAGGTCTTTAAAGTTTCCAGTTTACGTGGATCCTAAACAAACTGCAGTTTGCATAATAATTAAGAAACGCAGAAAACGGAAACTAAATGCACCTTTTCTTTTGTTCTAGGTCTAGTAGAAATACGAGCTGTTGATACGGGATTTGTGGTGATTAAAGGAGTTACGTCCTCAAGGTATCTCTGCATGGAAGACAGTGGGAAACTGTACGGATCGGTAAGTTACTTGGATTTACCAAAATGCAATTATCACATACTTTAAAGCCATATAGAAGCGATTTTGCACAACTAGAGAATAAGCCAGGTTTTAAACTTTTTCTAAGATAATACATGTAAATGTTCTATTTCCATAGCCTTATCTACATACATATAAACTAAAATCATTTTGAATATCATGTATACTGATACACAGTTGAAGATGCTTTGTCGATAGATTAGCCATTTTGGAAAAACGCCAACCTTTATCATTCGAGTCATCTTGCATTAAGAATGACAGCTCCTTGTAAGGCGCTTTTACTCGCATTTGACGTTTGCTTCTCGCTTCACATTTGAATAATAAAGTCATATTAAAGCTCTTTGGAAAGAGCTTCTTCAGTTAAAAATTAAAATATTTCTATGTATTGGCACGAATAGAAAAGTAAATTATGTAGGAAATTAGGTTTTATCTCAATGCTAGACCAGTTTGACCATTTCACCTGTTGACCAAAAGTTTGTTCCTCTCCCAGCTGAAGCCAAAAATAACAGGTTATTGTCTCTGAAAATAGATTTTACGTAAATAATCTTAAGAATGTGCAATAAACAGTACCTAAAACACAATCCAATTATAAGCCATCTTAGTGCACTTAAAGGAGTCATTCCCAATATTTCTAACAGGAAACTGAAGGAACTTCTTTTGTAATGGAATGTACATTTTTTTAAGTGCATGGAGCACTGCATTCTTCCACTTATGCACAAATTCTTTATAGCTTAAATATACCTACCTCATTGTTTAAATGCTCTTTCTGAAAATGGATTGGTTAACAGTTGTATACAATTATTCGGCTTTGTTCACACAAATAACCCCTGAAGTCCATTCCAGTATATGGAATGCTGTAAGTATGCTGGCATACTCTACATTAATTCAGGTGGGGAGCTGCGTCATGCGTAGGCTGCAAAAGGAAGAAGTAATAGGTTTATTCCATGCTGAAAAGCGAAGTAAGAAGACAACGTTTCGGCTGTGGAGCCTTCTGCTCACACCCGAAGAAGGCTCCACAGCTAAAATGTTGTGTTTTCTTTCTTCTCTTTTCAGCATGGAATAAACCTGTTACTTGATACTCTACATTCCATGCGTATGACATTTAAAATATCCTTATCTCGGATATTCAGTATTTCCACAAACCTTCAAACAAGGGCAAATTTTAACAGAACGCCGGTTATTGATACTATACATTGTATGAAATTTGAGTGTGTGCTAAATTTAGGGGATGGCTGGAAAAAAAGCAATTTGCCCTCTGTAGCTGAATAACCTTTGACCAACTGTGGGACATGCAAAGGTTTTACTTCACAAACAAAAGAAACCGCAATAGTAACCCTGGTAAATGAGTGCCTTTTTAGGCTTTGAAATATTCTTATGGGGGGGGGGACTCAGGTAAAATGTGAGCAGCTCTCTCAAACCCAAAGCTTAATTTTCTGCATTTCAATTACTGATAAGCACAAAACAGAACTTTATGGGTTACTTTAGCCAGTATTTGAATTTGCATTACATCGGATAGGTCTGGGCTCAAATAGGCCAATTGCATGAAGAACATTTATGTAATATTGAGCGAGTCTCAAACAATGATTCATAATATTCATCTTGTACATTTTTACTCTCATATCTTTGTTTCTCTCAAAAGCACACGTACTTAAAAGAGGATTGTTCCTTCATTGAACGCGTCCTCCCAGATGGATATAACATATACATTTCTGAAAAGCACAAGACCGTGGTGAGCTTAAGCAGTGCCAAGCAAAGACTCCAAGCAGAAGATGGAGGATTTCCTCCCTTGTCTCAGTTCCTACCAATGGTTAGTACCATTCCTACAGAGCCAGTGGGCATTGACATGGAAGGCTTTGGGGAGTCCACTGGTCTTGAGCAAGGATTAACTGAAACGGACAGCATGAACCCTTTTGGGAGTGCATCGACAGTCTACATGCAGAGTCCCAGTTTCCATAAACGCTAAACATCTTTTGTGACCAGGAAAACCAGAAAAAGAGGCACGATTGAATTCCAGAATGTGCTTCTGGAGGAAAATGGACTGACCTTCAGCTAAAGACTATTTGCTATTTGCTTGCCATTTTTAAAGACTAAGATAAATGACTTGTTTACAAAGGCAAAAATCCTGCAGTGATCTTGAAGACATGCATTTAGAAGATACTTTGCCACAAGAGGGAACCGAGAACTGTTTTCCAGAACAATATGCATGTCTGCGCTTTGAGCGCTTACTGTGCCACTCCTTATTTCCAGGGACTTAGATGAACATAAAATGGTGTTATTCTAAGGAAAAGCAGCAAGGCAACTGGTATTGAGCACTTATTTGTGCTTTTTTTAATTTAACTTATTTAAAATTTCAGTGTTTGTTGTATTTATGAACAAAAGATACACTTCCAGTGCACCGATGTCTACTACAATATAGAGAACATACATTTTGCATTTTTATAATTTTTTAAAATTGTTTTGTATGCATGTGGAAACTATTACATTTCTATTTTTACAGAAGGGTCACTGATCTGGAGAAACGCCAAAGCTAATTATAACCCTAACCATTAAAAGTTCATTGAACAACCATAAGAAAGGACTCAAAATGAGTCCATTGAATACATCTAGTTTGGCTTGTAGAAGTTAATTGATAAGGATCTCATCCAGCCATTTATTGAAAAAAGCCAGGGACAATTTCTTGAACATGGGTGGGTATCTAAAAGTTTACTACAAACCGTGTAAAAAAGGTGCTTCCTGTTCTCCATTTTAAATGCACTTCTATCATTTCCTCTGAGCCAAAAAAGAAGCCGTGAAGTTATTTGATCACTACATAATTCATTTGTCTTTTACATTAAAATGCTTTTGGATTAACTTTCTTTGTAAAGTAGTCTTACACAAAAGTGTAAGATTCTTGCAGCTTTAACTATTTAAACTTTTCTGTTTTTATCAGTTTTAGCTCCAAGACAGTTCTGCTCAGAAACCATTAAAGTTTTAATAAGATTTATAGGAGAATAAGTAGAGGATTTTCTGAAAGGATCACATCAACTGAATCAAGGTACTAAGATACAGAGTTCTGAATTAATTTGTTAACTTATTGTTTTACTTTTTAGCAATTACCGTGTAATCTGCTATGCGACTTGAAAGGAGATGATCAAAATGATCAGCTGTGGTTAATTCAATATTCTCTGTACTATAAATGCATGGTATCTTGAAATAAAAAACACTTTTTTACGTGTCAGCTATGCCCTTAAGTTTTTTTCTGCTGCTACTAGACGTTTGTTTTTAGAAATAACAATATAGTTACAAATACTCCAACAGGCTGCTTCTGTCTTAGGTTACAGGAACAGCTAACAAGCGTAAACCGATACCAGAGCATTTGCCAAAGGACACTTTGTTCCTCATAGTTCCTATAGGATTAATGACGGTCTGTTTTCTTAGTATCGGCTTTCATCGGTAAAATCCCATTCCCCCCCAAGTCAACTCACATCACGTTTATAGACTGGCCCATTAAATATAATGTTTGTGCATGGAGATTTTTGTAATCCGTCATGTATGTTCTGCAACAAAATCCCTCTCCCTTGGTAATTCGTTTTGTGCTACAGTACATATAACCTTCATTGAAAATCCAATGGCGCCCTCTCACGACATAAGAGAAAACCGCACGACAATTCCTGACATAAGGCCAGTGAAAGTGAACAAACTCACTTGATCAAACTGGAGGTTTGGCTTTGCGGTAGTAAAAATAAATCTTGCTATATAAAATAGATTTGGATATTCATTAGAATACTGTCTTGCTTTTTAAATGATTGACACAATCCCTTTTGGGGTTCATGCTGTTGAAGCGCATAAGCTGAGGATTTTTGCAACGTCTAATTGAAGAAGGAATGAATGGAAATACCCCCCCCCCAAAAAAAATCAAACAGCCGACATGAATTTTCAGTAAAGTAATACTTCACAACCTCGCTTTAGTCTGCTTTCTACCCATATGCTCCTTTCGAAAGGAGAGGGTCAAGCGGCACCCTGAGCTGGGGTGAGAACGACTCCCTCGCACAGTTCTTGGGTCCCCGGTTCAATTCCGTTCACGAACACCTTCTGCATGGAGTTCATGTGTCCCTTCGCCCCCAGAGACGCGGGTTCTCTCCAGGAGCACCGCTTCCCTGCCGATGTCCAGGTTAATTGGCGTATCTAAATTGTCCCCTCGTATGCGTCCCATCCAGGTTGTCGAACCACCCCGGGCACCCGGACCTGCCTTGTTGAGCTCCGCCACCCTTAAGGATAAAGAAGTTCCTGAAAATGGATGGAATGTATGAACGCAATATGCGTCACAGAGAAAACATAAGGGGGTTTATGGTTTCTCTCTACCCATTAAGCAGCGCAAGTTTAAGGAAGCACGGTCTCTTTAAATCCTGCTCAAGCATGTTTACCCAGAATGCCCAACCAACAGGAAGACGTGTTTCACACATGGACTGGAGTTTGTTTTTGCAGTTTCAGGCACTAATATTGTAGAAGGCAACTCTGGTGTTCAGGTGCAATTGAATTATACGTACAATAAAGTATTTAATCGATTGGGTGTTCTATAAAATGGCTTCCGATGGAGGCGATAATTTGTTTGACAGTATTTTGATGGCTGATAACAGGTGACGTTATTTTACTACCTCTATTTCGAGAATGAACGGATTTCGTTTTTCAGGGAAAAAAAAAGCACAGAACTTTACACTATTTACAAGAGTTACCATTGTTTGTCATCACCGCAACCGAAAGGGTTAAAAGTGAAAGGAAGATGATGTTCAATCACCGATGTTTGTCCGGGCGGGTGTCTTGCTTGTTGTGGCCCCAGAGTCTTTGAGCTTGATCAGAAATATTTTAAGCGATTATACTTTAGGAGTCTTTGCATTTAGTTATTCGTTCCTTTGCAGATTCCATAACGAGGGGTATCAGGAGGGCTTTGAGGAAGGTGTGCGTGTGGGACTGGCCGAAGGAAGGTCCCATGGAGCTGCACACGGAGCTAAGGTTGCAACTGAGGCAAGGATGCGTCTCCAAGTTCCTATTAACAAGTTCGGCTTCAGCGGAGCAAAGCTGAGCACCTGTTAGTTATTCTAGACTGGAAGGTCTGTCACATGTCATCAGCGACGCCTTTAAGAACAAGCTGGTTTGTAGTTTTCCCGTAAGCGTAACTGTTTTTGCCGTGTATCCCATTAAAGAGCGCATGAACTAGAACTTGTTCATCTAGGTAGAACATGAGAAATCTTATCAGGGTGTCTAGATCTCTTTATAGCGACAGACCCTGATGAGCTGTGGGAAATTGGATTGGGCCCAGTTAAGGCAATCATGAGCTGGTGTTGGTCATTAAGAGCTGAACTGAAGATCAGCAGGCACTCGGGTCCTGTGCTCCAGGACCACAATTTGATAACCCATGATGTAGAATTTGAAGTTTTACATCTAATTGAAATGCAGCCTACGTGAAGGTTGTAATGTTATGTCTTGGAAAAGTAGTATTTTATACATTTGTATGTACTCATTTTTCCCCCCCAGGTTTCATTTTACTATGGGTTTGCACTGACGTGGAAGTGTCTTCTTCAGAACAGCACAGACGCAAGAGCTAGGTATGGCTGGTGCAATACAATACTGGAGTTTCCAACAACATGACATGCTGTCTGCCCCTCAGAACACCTTACACATTGATAACACTGTACAACCTGTTCAGCACATACACATAGGTCAAATAAAGAGCTATTAAGGAGTATGTGTAGAGTCATGTTTTCCCTGGTGTAACTGTAGAAGCTGAATATTTTTCAGTAAAAGGCTGAAGACTGTGGAGTCTTTAATTGGATTGATTCAGCGTTTTCCTCATGATGATCCTTCATATGAAAATCTCCAAGAGGACATGGAGAGGGTGCGGGCAAAGTTTCGCCAGGTACAGCATCTAATCTTCTTCCCCCCAACCCCCCGCACATTATGTAGTGATTAAAATGAGATGTAGCTCTTATTCGTAATCGGGTTATTTTAGAATCACCTTATTTGTGGAAGTGAGCAATAGCTTGAAACCACAGAATGAAACGGTTCTGTTTGGTTTGCAGACTTGCTCTCTTCTGAATGTTCCTGTGGACTTCAGGGATTACGTGAATGGATCACATGGACTATCTTTCTGATGGAGAGCACCACGTGATATAACTCTGGATCCTGAGCTCCTGGGAGCTTTTTCAGGGAGCAGTGGAAAGAGCATGGCAGAAGACTCTTGAGAGTGCTGAAGGAGAAGTTCCATTGGGGAGTGTCGCAGAAGACATGGCCTCTGCTGTGAAGTCTGTCAGACCTGGATGTGCGGGTCTGATTCTCTTGTTGGAGATGCCTCGCTCTCCACCTCCATCACCAAGAAAATCTCTGATCTCGAAGACGGCAGATTTCCCTGGACCCTAAGTCTTCTACAAATATGCTACAGAGGGCTGAAGGTGCCATACAAAAAAATAAATAAATGTTTGGACCACTCTACTTCGAACATATGGCATTGCCATTGTTTGAAAAGACGAGTAAAAAAAATCAAGAATTACTGCAGTAAAGTTTGTTTTTTATGGCTTTTCATACTGTTTAAAATATTTTAAAAAAATCAAAGTTAGTAGTGAAACCACACCTTATTTGTTGTGTATAGAGCAGGCTGCACATGTGGTAGTGGAAATTGCAGTGTAAATGTTCTTGTTTTCCAGGATTTGTAACTAATCTTTTTAATGCCTGTGTATATCAATTAACAGCCTTCATACCAATGTACAGTATTTACATTGAGTAGAGGTACAGGAGACATGTTAGAGTGTTACTTTTATTTACACTAAATAATAATAGTCAGTCTCAAATTCAGTTCCTTTTTTATTAAAGATTTTATTAGTTTGGATAATTTTATTTGCTGTTATATTTAGAAAATTCAAACATTGATTTGTGTTATGTCATGTAATATATCAGTAATGTGGAGTTTGTCTCAACATTTTTCTTTTACATTTTCAATTTTCATTGTAATTTTTTAAAAAAAAAACTTTAAAAGTATCGGATCTTCTGCATTTAGGCATTTTCGAAATCAAATTCAATGCTGCCCTCATGTGGTTGATAGAAATAATTGCAGCTCACTCAAAAGAATGGCTGTCATCTTGTGGAGAGATTCGAAACTGCAAGCAGGAGTGTTTTCATCCACATTGTTGAAACGGCAACATGTTAAATAATGTTTTCATGTGTGTAAGGCTATATGTCAGCATTGCACATTGGGGTGTTTCCCACTCATGAACAGAAATTAATTACATTCAAGTAAAATGTTGCTTGTGTGAAGAATTTCCGAAACTTCTGTAAATACGAAATGGAAATCATGTTTTATATTTCATCTTATCTTTGAAATGCATGTTGTTCTCAGACTCCTTACTGGTGATATTAAAATTTGATGATCAACTCTGACCTGCTTTGACTTAGTTGTGTGACCTGAAACCAAGTATCCATGAATATCTCTTGTTCAGATCTGGCCTTGGTTTTCGACTGGTGTCCCTCGTGAACCTCAGGCTGCAGACCCAAATGGTCAGTGGGGGAACGTCTCTGATTTTGTTGTGGAATTCGACAGGCTAGTCCAAATAAGTTCCACACCATGCAGCCAGGGAAGCCAGCCTGTTCTGTGTTTGTTTTGGCCATTGAGGCCAATCAACAGGACCCGGCTGGGAAGGCCAAAGAGGAAAAAAACATTGATTTGACCTGAAGGTGGGTTACTTCAAAGGGATGCCGGGGAGATCTGTGTTTAGAAAGCCGAGAAAATAGATAAATCTCTGATTGTGATGGTGGATCGTCACTTTTTGACCGAGGGCTGAAATGGAGCAAAAGGGAAAACAAGATTGTAAATGTGTGAGGAAAATGAGCAGGTAAATTGATTTTTCTTTGAGAAAAAAGGAAAAGGGAAAAGACTAACATATACAACAACAAAAAAACAGCGAATGGATTCTGAATCGCAAGCAGTTCGATGACCCTTTTAAACCTATTTGCCTGTTTACTTTTGTTTGATGTGTGATGTTTATCAGTAGCCTTCTGTAGTTTTGTTTTTCTATTTCCCCATGCGCTGGAATCACCCAAACCTTAGTCTTTCGCAAGCATTCATTTATTTTTCATTTCTGAGAAAAGATGAATTCTGATCCTTTTCACTTCTGGGCTGCAGTGCTGGCACAGACCTGACGTTTGAGGATTGTGACTCTTTATTCTTTGCAGTAAACATGCATAGTACTTTAATCCCAGGCATATACATACAGTGAACATTTTTCTTCTCCAGTCTTAACAATCAGACTCCTCTAATGAACTGTTTCTGTAACCTGGTGCTTGTGGACTGTTCTTTTTGAAGTGAGTTATTTGCCAAACTTTTTTTTTAAACTGTTTTATCCCCTCATTAGTTTTAAAAATGTTTAGAAAGTATGGAGAAACTCTGAATTAGTTGCACTGTCACCAAGACATACAGTACCGCAGTGTGCTGGTCATCAAATTGTTGTTTGTTGTTTGATCTCCTTTACCCATCTCGAAAAGTCTTACTAGGTTGCCAGTTAATGATGCAATAAAGAGTGTTAATGAGGCATCGGTTTAATTGTGTACACTTTCAGATACCTGCTCATTCAAACATCACACAATAGTGAGGGGTGTTCTGTATCCTAAAACCTGCTATGAAGATATCATTAATTCCATACATCCATTAACAGCAAGCTGCTTATCCTTGGTGAAGGTCATGACAACCCGGAGCTTGTCCCAGAAACACAGGGCACATATGCACACACTGCCACAATTTAGAGATGGCAATGAATCTAGCCAGTATGAATTTGAAAGGTGGGAGGAAATCAGAGCATCTGGAGAAGACCCACGTAAACACTGGGAGATCAATGTGAATGCCACACAGAAGGCATCCTAGTCCGGAATTGAATCCTGGACCCAAGAGCAGTGTGGCAGCAGTGTATAACCACATGCCACCATGCCACCCTTGAATGATAATTTCTACCCACCAAGTTGTCTTGGTAAAGCAAGGCTGAAATTTGTAAAAAAATAAATATTTTCAACAAAATGGGTCAATGAAAGGCTTTGATTAGGTTCAGTAATTATAGTGTCAGTGGAAAGACATCCAGATGTCTCAGTGCTCTGTAAGGACAAGGACTGAGGAGCCCTGATCTACTCTGTACACACCAGTGTCAGTGAAGGACAAGCCAATAGGTGGCAATCAGGTTATTCTCTTCAGGCCTGGGGGCTGACTAGTTGGAGTTAACTGGAGTTAAATCATCACAAGGCGCTAAGTGCTCCAACAGGCAGAGAGGCACTTTCTCCTTTGTGTTTCTGCCTCAGCAGCCTGCCTTTCACTCTAATAAACATATCAAAATTCAGATGAACAAAACAGAGGGGGCCTGACAGATGGCGTATGCAATGTACAGCAGCTGAGGTATGGGGATCGGCACTTTCTGAGAGCGACAGATAAAACCACACACTTCACAGAAGGGGCAGAGCAAGGGGAATCTGGAGCCCCGTCAGCGTGCTGCCTACCTGCCTGTTTCGGCACCGGTGTATATCCATTACATGAGGTCTGAGTAGCCCAGTGGAGGGAAAGAACGAAATCACAAAATTGTAAGAATTGCCGGCACTGCTAAAAAAAAAGTGGAAAGTCCTAAAAATATGATGCTTTAAAAACAATTGAACACATTTGTGAAAAATACCCGAAAGACTGAGGTCTGAAGTACAGTATGAAAGTGTTTTCAGCAAGCCCTGTTACACTAGTGTTAACCCCTTAAATATAGATCTCAAGAGTCTGGTTTTGTTGCCACAGTGTCATGTAAAATGGGCTGGAGCAGCTTTGCCACTGTGTTTTCTCCACACTGTATTAGTGTTCACGTAATAGAGAAAGTGATAATGCTCTGTTTCTATGGCATGGTGCTACACCAGGTAATATCCCTTTTGTCTTGGCAAATATAATCTCAAACTCTCTATGACCAGCGTTCCCACCCTTCCTTCACTCATCCACCAATTGACTACTTGACAGGATCTTGACTTACAGAGAATATCATCATCCCCAATGGATCTGCCCCAGTCTTCCAATGTATGTCTGCGCAAGTAAAGCTTTCCTTCGTAAATGATTTCTACTTTGTTCAAGTCTGGTTAAGGAAACGTTTCTAAACCTGTTACATTTTTTCTTGTTCCCTTTATTGTCTCTGACAGCTGGAAGATCACTACTTGTGTCACAGTGTATCTGAGGGAATTTCACAGGATTGCAGGATCAAGTGTATCTCCTGTTTGGGCAAATCCCTTTCCCCCTTCTTTCTTTTTCTTTTTCATTGACAAAGACTCCTAAACACAGAAATATTTTGTGAAATCTTGTGATCTTTGATTTCAGTTCTAAAACCAGATTCAATTATTTTGTAATAATTGAAAAGGGGGGTTAATATGAGCTCGAATCATGAATTTGACAGGAACCCAGTCAATCCATCAATTCTTCTGTGCTCTAAGGGCTTTATTCAATTCAGGGTCACGAGGGAGTGGGAGCCCACCGTGGAAAGCAGTGGGCACCAGACAGGGTACACCCTGGATGGGCCACCTGTCTATTGCAGGAAACACAGAGACACCAGACACACACACACAC